CTCTCTCTCTCTCTCTCTCTCTCTCTCTCTCTCAAACACACACACACACACACACACACACACACACACACATGCTTTTTCAGGCGGTTTTTAGGAAAATTAGTCAACGGCTATATCTAATTTATTAATTGACTGGATATAGCAGCTGGATAATTAAAGAAAAGGAGAACGCAGAAATGCATGCACGCTAGGGTGCTCTGTTTGAGTCATGTGTGTGTGTTTGTTTGTGCGTGTTCCTCCCGATTACACACACGGGCATATTGCAGGTGCAATAACTTTTTTATTTTTATTTTCCCTATCTGTGTTGGGGGCGAGAGAGAGAGAGCACCCCCCCCCCCCAAAAAAAATAAAAGGAACCGTCTTCCTGTGAGGTCCTTCTCCTCTCCCTTCCCTCCTACACACCTCTCCTCCTCTCCTCCTTTAGAATCTGCATAGTACGACAGTTGGGCCACTTAATAAGACYTCCAAAKAACATAGTAGTCCAGGTAGTACCACACCCAAGTCCGATTAGTCAATAGTAGTGACTATAGGATTACACACAACCCGATCTACAGTGCACCCAGGCAGGCAGGCAGCCAGGCAGGCAGACAGGCAGACAAGCARGCAGGCATGYTGGCAGGCAAGCCGGGTGGGAGGCACGCAGGTAGGCAGGCAGGCACACAGGCTGGAGGGCAGGGCGGCAGGCAGGCAGGCAGGCAGGCAACCAGGCAGGCAGGCAGGTAGGCAGGCAGGCAGGCAGGTCACCCTTTTTAGGTTTTTTCCCTCCTTAAGTCTTTAACATTATCTGTTTTTTTATACATTTTTGTTTCCCTTTTTTGGCCCACTATCTTCTTTTTATTTTTACAAGTGCATTTAAGTCTATTTAAGCAGTTCGTGTGATATTTGCCATTCAGTTTTGTTTTTTTTGTGGCCGCACAAAATGATTGTTTCCCCCTTTTTCAACAAAACCCTTCTATTGCTGCCCCGCTATTTATTTTTTTTTCTTACAAATGAGTTTGAGTCCATGTGAGCAATTCGTCTGATATTTGCCATTCCTTTTTTGAAATTTTGCGGGCGTAGCCTGCACCGCCCGCACCGCGGGCGCTAAGCTAGTTTTGATGAAATGGCTGTTCTCAAGTTTTCTTCCTAAGTCCGAAAGTCGTGCCCGTAAACAAGCCGCAATCTTACGGGCTTGAATCTCTGAATGGTTTAAATGTGGATGGGTTTCAAGCAGAGAAAATCTGATGCAGAAAAGCAGATAAATTATAAATAGTGATTTTCTGCACCTCTCCATATTAAGCGGGTTGAGATTCAGGCACTAAATTGCTAGTGGGACCTCTCTCATGTCCTCTTCTGCTGTTATTCGAAAAGTCAACCAAAAAACAAGTCAAAAGGTTCCTAGCCTCATTTTCACTGACATGTTTTCTGAATGTACTCGTTATGGGACGCTGGGCCCGGTTCCCAGTTCGTGCCAATTTGTGAGGATATGGTTGTATGATGAACTTGTTTGTATCTATGGGACGCTGGACCCGGTTTCCAGCAGGTGTTTGCTCCCCACCAATAGATGGAGCTTTGGTTTAAAAAAAAAAAGAAAAAAAAAAAAAGAGTAGGGCAAATTCAGGGCAAGCAAGCGGAAAAAAAGGGGCAACTTCAGTAGAGTCACAAAAACGAGTTTATAATTGCACTAGGGGGCAAGATACAGTTTGGAATTGCACTTCGGGCAACGTACCTGGCCAGAAAGCTGGGTTGTATACATTACCTAAACCGCAAATTGAATGTGAAACTCTATCTTGCCCCATAGTCATAGTGCAATTAGAACTCTTTTCTGTGACTCCCAAGTAGTTCCCCCCCCAAAAAAACAGAAAAAAAAAAAAAACGAGGATTGATCTGGTGTCCGGATATATATTCTTGGAGAAAGGAAAACACACCATTGCAGCCTCTACTTCATCCGAATATAACTCTCCATCGGACCATCTTCATAGAAGCATCTGGTGCAGCTTTTCAGTCTAGGTACAGCGATAATGACCTGGCGTTCTATTCCGCTGAAGACTGCAGGACACAATTATGGTCCAAAGAGGATGGACATGGAAGCATTGTATCAGTTAGTGTGAATCTTGTTCGAAAGGCAAAGCAATTGAAGGCTGTTTTTTGGTTTACTTTCTTTACGGCTGGACTGAATGCAGAGGTTGACCATGCGCTTCATTCCATAACGTATCTGGATGTATGTCTTTGTGTGTGTGTGTGTGTGTGTGTGTGTGTGTGTGTGTGTGTGTGCGTGTGTGTGTGTGTGTGTGTGTGTCATAATGTACAAATAGCATTACTATGCTATGAACTCCATAACATAACGGCCTGACCAGCCATCCACAGGATATTCACGACAAACCATTCCACTTCGCGATCCTGGAAAACAATCTACGACACAGTGACTCTCATCCAACCCATTCCTGACAACTTCAAGAAGGCATGATCATGAAACAGTCAAGAACCGCAGGCAACGACACAAGCAGCACACAAGACAGGGAAATTTGGAAAAGACAAGAAGCAAATCCTCCGCAAGTCATGTCGACACTCACACCGCAAATCCTCCGAAAGTCATGTCAACACTCACACCGCAAATCCTCCGCAAGTCATGTCGACACGTCGTATGGAGGGCACGGGGGAGGATGGCGTCAACACCCGAAGAAGAAACAGCACGGCAAACGCAGTGAGGCATCAACACCCACGCAGATATGCAGCACACAACACAGGCAAATGACAGCAAGCAACAAGCGAAAAAAAAAAAAAAGAGCATCAAAAACCAAAACACCGAAAAAGAATAAAAGTTGGTGATGATATTGTTTCGTTGGAGGTGCTCCGACTCATCAGGAGGCTGAACCATCGACAATCTGCGGAATCCCCGTACTGATGGTTTGAGTCATGCACCCCCTTGTTGGAGCCTGGAGGCAGACGGTTCCCACACGGAACACAGCAGCAGGGAGCCACACAGCGAAGCACCAGGCAACGCAGCAGAGGCAACGCTGAAGCCTACTGCAAGGAACAACAGGGTGAGCGGACGAGCAGCTCACAACCGTGTAGTGAAGTGCAAGGCAAAACCAACAAGGCAGCCAAACCACAAGGCACGCTAGCAAAAGACATGGAAGGCCCGGGCTGCGGATGGGCGGCAAGCCAGCAGAGCAGCAAGGACAACATGCGAACCAAACGGCACAGGCAGCAAGGCAGCGGCAGGTAGTGAAGTACAAGGGAACACCAACAAGGCAGCCAAACCACAAGGCATGCTAGCAAAAGACATGGAAAGCTCGGGCTGCGGATGGGCGGCAAGCCAGCGGAGCAGCAAGGACAGCATGCGAGCAAGGCAGCGGCGGAGCGCAGACAAGGCAGTCTACACATCCAACTTGAATCAAAGCGGCACATCACCTACTCACAATACGTGCAAACCCCGCAGACTGTTGGTTCCCACCACCTGCTGAGCCAGGGAATCACTCAGGAGAACATTCTTCATCACCCGCTGGGCCGCTGGGAGCACAGACATCCAGAACTGAGCGGTGCCCCTAAGAATGCTGTAGACACTCCAAACGAGGAATGAGCGCCTGTTTGGCACTGCTTAAGGGTGCTCACTTGGACAGGCAAAAGTACTCAGAAAAAAAACATAGGAAGAAAAACACACAGAACGCTGACAGAAGCATACACAAACTGATTGAGAGTGTGTCAGTGTGTGTGTGTGAGGAGGGGGGGAAGGGGGGGAGGGGTGTTGCTCATAGGGTTCTCGTTCAGAAAAGAGAAAAGCGTTGATCAGAGACAGATAAATCAGCGTCTCTCTTCAGCAGAAAAAGTAGAGTTTCATTTGAAAGCAGAAGCCTCCGCAAAGAAAGGCAAGACAGTTATCCCCTTTGTTCGTAAACAGTCCCAATAGGGACCCCCTCCCATTTGAAAAGAAACGAGCTAGCTGCATTGCCACAGCCGCCTGCTGTCAGTCACTTTAAAAAAAAAAGCACAGAACCCTAAACCCAAAAGGCGCCTTCCATGAAGAGAGAAAGCCAGTACATTAGGACATAAATGACCATCTCTACACATACCATGATTACCACGAATAACTATGTATATACCAGACATGACCTCAACAGCAACATATACCTTCTATACTACCCATGGGCCATGGGAACACTTCCTCATATCTTCCCCGCCACCCCCCACCCTCTCTCTCTCTCTCTCTCTCTCTCTCTCTCTCTCTCTCTCTCTCTCTCTCTCTCTCTCTCTC